TACCAACACCCAAAATAAGGGACAAATGTGACCTGCCCCAGGAGCAAACTTGTACCCTCTGCAAGTCCTTAATCCTCAAGGGTAACCACTATCTTGATTTTTAAAACAGAGATTAGATTTGCCTAATTTTGTGCTTTACATAAGTGGACTTGTACAATGAGTAGTATCACTTTTGAACCTGGTTTTTTCACTTAAAATGTTGTCAACACTTCCATGTTATTGATAGTTCTTCCCTGGCATCATATTTAATAGCTTCAGGGTATTTATCCAAAGAGTACACCATAATATATCTGGTCAGTGTACTATTGTTGGGCACGTAGCTTGTATTCCATTTTTCCATATTATAATCCACACTGCATGAACATCCTCCCAAGTAAGAAGAAGCAGAAAATCGTGGTTAAAGCACAGGCCTCAAAGCTACCCTGCCTGGATCTGAATCCTGGATCTAATACTTGTTAGTTATGTGATCTCAGGCAAACTGCCTCATAGCTCAGTGCCTCAGTTTCCCCATCTGTGATATGGGGATGATGATAAGATGATGATGGTAGCCAAGTCATCTATTGTTGAAGGATCTAAATGTGCTAATCCAAATACAGCACTTAAAACAATGCTTGGCACAAAGAAAATGATCAATAAATGTTAACCGCTACTATCAGTCATTGAGAATACTTTCTAGAAGTAAAAAAAAAAAACATATTAAGTTGACCCTAAAAATCATTCAATATTTTTCTTTGTGTATGGTATTTGCTGATAAAGTCACTGAGTGGGATTTATGTCACAATATGACGAGGTGAGAAAGCCCTAGACTGGACGGCACAAAAACCACCCTTGGCCTGTTAGTTAAGGAGCTGCTGTGTGATGTCTTGATGTTGCTGAGTCCCTTTTTCTCATATGAAGAACTGGGATAACTAGTGAATATTATATAGTGTAAGGTTAATTAGGCAGGCTTTGGGGTCATAAAAAACTGAGTTTCAATTCTGACTCTGTCACTTACCCTCCTAAAACCCTTGGGGAAGTTATTTAAGTTATTTAAACCTGCTCACAAGGCTGCCGTAAGGACATAAAGGAGAGGGATCCTAGGAAATCCCTGCAGAGGGTTGAACTCATATAGGTTCACTATTGCTGTTATTATTAATGTTATCGATCCTTGCCCTGAATTAAAGTATGAAGAAATTAGAAACTCAAGTGCTGGGTGTTATTACTGAAGCTGAGAGCATGAACTCTTAAATAGAAGGAACTTTGGCAAAGAATGCTAAGTCAAGGTGAAACGGCAAACAACAAAAGTTTAAGGGTTTGTGGGGAAGGGTACAAATAAGAAGCAAAACAACGCCAAGTTGGACCAGCCCCATTTTCCAAAATTGCCTGATTATAGGAATCACCTGAAGAGTTTCAAAATACAGCTTCCAGGGCCTGATCAGTGGGTCTGAAGTGAGGCCCTGGAAGCTGTATTTTTAAGAGGTATCCAGGTAATTATCATGATAAGACAGGTTTTGGAAACAATTCTTTCTGAAGAGAGTGGAACAGCACTGGACTTGCTCCCTGAGTTAGCCAGGAGGTGTCAGGTAACACTATGTGAAAACAGTCATCATCATTTACCAAGCACCTACTAGGTGTCAAGTACCAAGGTCAGCATGTTCCTATAATATTCATTTAATTGTCACAATGATCCTAAGAGACAGAGATTATCGTCCCAATTTTACAGATGGGCAGACTGAGGCTCAGAGAGTTAAATAACTTGCTCAAGGTCGTATGTAGCAAGATATCCACATGTCTCTGATTTCAAAAGTCTTAGGAACTACCTTAAACTGACAGGTCAGAATACTCAGCTCCATCCATTATGATAGATCATCTATTATGCATGTAAATATCACTGCGCTCATCATTTTACAGTTTTCAGAACATTTTTAAAAACAGCTTTATTGAGGTATAACTTATATAGCATAAAATTCATCCATTTAAAACATGCAATTCAATGGTTTTTAGTATATTCACAGAGTTGCATAACCATTACCACAATCAATTCTAGAACATTTCCTTCACCCTGAAAAGAAACCTCGTGTCCATTTATAGTCACTGTCTATTCTCTGTCCAGCCCCTGGCAACCACCAATCTACTTTCTGTCTCTATGGATTTGCCTATTCTGGACAGTTAATATAAATGCGATTATACAATATGTGGCCTTTTGTGCCTAGCTTCTTTCACAGAACATGTGTTTTCAGGTTCATGCACATTGTAACACATATCGTACTTCATTAGTTTTTATGGCTGAATAATATTCCACGGTATAGATATGTCATATTTTATTTGTCCATTAGTTGATGGACATTTGGGTTGTTTCTATTCTTTGGCTATTTTGAATGATGTTGCTATGAACATTTGTGTACAAGTTTTTGTGTGGACACATGTTTTCACTTCTCTTGAGTATATACCTAGGAGTGGAATTGCTGGGTCTAGATTTAATCATTTGAGGAACTGCCAGAGTATTTTCCAAAGTGACTGTGCAGTTTTGCCTTCCCCCCAGCAGTGTATGAGAGTCCTTTCAGAATACTTTTACAAACATAAATTTGGTTAATTCACACAACCACCCCAGAGATCAGACAGGGGATGTGACTTCTCAGAAGATACCAGCTATGAAGGCTGGGGGTCCAACCCCAAGACTTCCTTCCTTCCTTCAGGAAGCCTGATTTCTGCCAAAACAATAGGTTTTAGGTCTTTGAGGGGTGATGGGGTGATGGGCAGAGAGAAGGAATCTACTACCCGTACAAAGCCTTGAAATGCAAATGGAAGCTTCCAGTTTTAGGGGCAAAGACATCAAAGCCATTTGTTTTTGTTTTATTGGGCACACACAGTTGGAGCCAGATTCTGACTAATTAATGATGATCAAAGTGCTCTGACAAAATGGAGTGCTCTGCAAATGCTAGCAATCAATGATTCACAGCCATTCTTAGCTGGGGGTTTGGAGGTAGGCCACCCAGGAGTGGAAGAAAGCTAGGCTCTCACTTCCTCTCAGTTTGCATGATCCTGAGCCCTCCTGCAGGACTCAGTTTCTCCATCCAGCAAACAGGGCCAGATGTGAGCTCTCATTCCTTTATGCTGCCAGGCCAGGACCTAGCAGAGAGGGCTGATGACTTAAGTCTTGGTTGCCAACAAACCCAGAGGCAGTATATGCCCAAGCTGCCCCCACCAAACAATAATTAATAATAATAATACCAAAACTTAGTTCAGGGGTTAGCAAACATTTTCTATAAAAGGCCAGATAGTAAATATTTTGGGCTTTGTATGGCCATATGATCTCTTTCCCAACTACTCAACTCTGCCATTAGGTGCAAAAGCACCATAGACAATACATCAAAGAATGAATGTAGCTGTTCAATGAAACTTTGTGGACACTGAAAGTCAACTTCTATGTAATTTTCACATGTTACAAAATTTTATTCTTCTTTTGATTTTTTTCCCCAACCACTTAAAAACATAAAAACCATTCTTTGCTCCTAGACTGTATAAAAGCAGGTGTTGCTTTGACATGTTAAACATAATTACTATTTGACCCAGCAATTCCACTCCTAAGTCTATACTCCAAAGAAATAAAAATACATGTACATCAAAGTTTTAACTGCACTATTCATTATAGTCAAAAAGTAGAAAACACAAATGTCCATCAACGGATGAATGAACGAAATGTGGTATATCCATATAATGGAATATTGTTCAGCTATAAAAAGGAATGAAAGTTTTATATATGCTACAACACGGAAAAGCCTTAAAAACACTATGCTAAGTGAAGGAGGCTGACAAAAGCTGGTACATTATATGATTCCATTGATACAAAATGTCCAGAATAAATTTATAGGGACAGAAAGTAGAGGAGTTGCTGCGTAGGGCTGAACTGCTGTGAGAAATGCGGGGTGATAGTGATAGCCAAAGAGTGTGGGATTCCTTTGGTGCATAATGAAAATTGTGGTGATGGTTGCACAACTCTGTGAATAGACTAAAACCCGCTGAAGTGTACAATGTAAATGGGTGAATTATTATATGTGAATTACATTTCAATAAAGCTGTTAAGAAGAAACAGGAGGTGTGCTATAGTTTGTTGATCCCTGACATATAGCACATCGTCATTTAGCTTTCTGCAAAGCCCCTTTCTACATGCTATCACAACCAGCCGTGCATTAACCCCTAAGCAGCTGAGAAAATCAAGGCTCAGAGAAGGGAGTGACTTGCTCTAAGACAGGTAACCAGTGGTGAGGTTTGAGTGGTACCCAGGTCTTTTGATTCCCTATCCAGCGCTCACCACAGCACAGACCTTTCCAGAGTTATACCCAAAAACTGGGTAGTCATTCCTCAAAGCCCCAGGGGAGAGGATATGACAGGAAGGAACTGCTGCTCCTCTGCCACTCCCCCAGCCATTCCTGATGCCAGCTTCCTCCTCTCCTGCAGGCCTGTGCTCCTCCCTCCTTTCCTTCCCAGAACCACTGAGCAAGGCTCTCTGTCCCTGTGCCTCACTCAGGGTGCTGGGAAGGAAGGGAAGTGGGACAAGGACATTCCTCCAGAAATTTGATCCATATGACATATCTGGAAAAGGGTTCAGAAAGGGTGAGGAACCGATCCAAGTTCATACAGCTGATATATGACCTTTGATTTCCTTGATATTTTTGAGAACAAAATGAAAAAGCGTTTGGGGCCTGAGGTAGTGTTTGAAGTGAGCAAAGCTCCATCCCATTCCTCATTCTTTTCCCTGTAGCATCGCCCTTCACACCTTCCCCCACTTTTACATTTCTAGAGGCACCAACCACTATGATGGGGCTGGGGTGGAAGATGGTCTTTAAAATTTTGTGAATGCTCTGTAAAAATAATTAATTGTAGAAAAATCAGAAAATACAGATAAAGGAAGTAAGGACCACTCTTACTCTTTAGATACAAACATGGGAGTGACCATGGGAATATTTTGGGGTGCCTCTGGAGCCAGCCACTGGTGTTCAAATCCCAGCTCCATCACTTACCATCTGTGACCTTGGGAGCTCATTTCATCTTTCCAACCTCAGTTTCTCTACCTGTAAAATGAGAATTATAATAGTACCTACTCATAGAGTTGTATGAGAATTAAATGAAGCTATAGAGCACTAAAAACTGTGCATGGCACAGAGTAAGCACTCAATACATTTCCCAGTGTTTTTTATTCATATATATTTTTTCCTTACAAAAGTGAGATCATTCTATATCTACCATTTTATAACATGGATCTCATGTTAAGTGAAGTATAAGCATCTTAGTACAGCATTAGAAATCCTTTTGTAGAACATCTTTCTTATGACACATATAGCATTCCATCCCCTGCAGTGGGATATTTAAGTGTGATTTTTCCCCCCACCACCAAATACTTTTCTCCTTACTTTTGACCAATTACCACTTAAGGACAAATTCCAAAGGAATTTGGTGAGTCAAAGGACGTGCAGGTGCTTAAGGCTTTTGGCACATCACTGTCAAACTGCCCTTCAAAAAAATTTAGAACTAGTTTCACTTTCACCAGCTAGGAAGAGATGGCCTCATTCTCTCCAATGCCTTGCTTGTGTTCTCATTTAGAAACATCATTTCCAATTTGACCAGGTGAAGTGTTATCGTCTGTCTTATTCTGATTTGCAGTCCGAGCTCTTCCTAATGGAACCCAGCATCAACATCTGCTCAATCCCATGGTCCCCAGTGGTGGCCCTGGACTATTAATCAACCTCCCTGAACCAGAAGGCTCAGTTATAATCCCCAAGTAAAACCAGGATTTCTAAAATTAGTTAAAATAGGTAAAAACCCCACTCCAGGCCAACTTCACATTATTGAAACATGGCTGTAGGGATTTCAGAAACAGAGATAGTATGCTGCATCCTCGGGGAGGTGGGAAAAAAAATAGAAAGATACAGGGATGGCATCTCAGGCGAGCCTTGTAGATAACTGTGGTGCATATGGGTAAACTGAGGCTCAGGAAGAGAAGGTCTCCCCAATAAGAAAAAGTCAGGAACATCTAATAGAAAAATGAGTGAAGAATATGAATAGGCAAGTTAGAGAGGAAACCTAAATGTATGTTAGTATGCAAAAAGATGTTCAAATGCATTAGTTATTCGGGAAAGCCAAACAAAGAAGAGCCACGAACACATAGATTGGCAAAATTAGGAAGTTGGATAATACCAAGTGATGGTAGGGTGTGGGGAAAATGGGGCTCTCATGCACCACTGGTGAGTATCGACTAATATCTTGAGATCCAGCAATTTCTAGGCAAATGTCCCAAGGACCTTCCCACACAGCAGAGAGTGTTCACTGCAGCTGTTTTTTGTGGTAGCTGGGAGAAGATGAACTGGATGCCCCTCACTGGAGGAATAGATATGTAAAATGTGGTGAAAGCATATAATGGAATAATTACGCAGCAGTTCAAAACAATGAAATAGACCAGGGGTCAACAAACCAAGGCCTGTGGGCCAAATTTGACTTGTGGCTTACTTTTATACAGCTTAGCTCATAAGCTGAGAATGATTTGTACATTAAAAAAAAATCAAAAGAATAATCTGTGATACATGAAAATCATATGAAATTCAAATATCAGCATCCACAAAGCTTTATTAGAACACAGACACACTCATTTGTTTGTGTATTATCTACGGCTGCTTTTGTGCTACAACACCAGAGTTGTGACAGAGATCATATGGCCTGCAAAACCTAAAATATTTACTATTTACCTCTTTACAGTGAAACTTTGCTGACTTCTGAACTAGACAAACACAAAGAAACTTGTATAGATCAACAAACTACATAGCTAAATGAAAAATTAAGTATCAGTTATCTGTTGCTGCGTAACAAATTACCCCAAAACTTAATGACTTAAAACAAAGATAAACATTTATTATCTGTGGACAAGGAATTCAGGAACAGCTTGACTGAGTGGTTCTGGTTTGGGATCTATTATGAGGTTGCAGTTAAAATGTCACTGAGGCTGTAGTCATCTGAAAGTTTGGCCAAGGAGGGAGAATTATTCAAGATGGTTTATTTACATAGCTGGCAAGTTGGTGCTAACTGTTGGCAGGAGGTCTGTTTCTCTTAGACCTCTCCCTAGGGCTGCTGCTTCAGTGGTCTCACAACATGGCAGCTGGCTTCTTCCTACAGTGAGTGATCCAAGAGAGAGCAAGGAGGTGTTTGTAATGTTTTTTATCACCTAGTCTTGGAAATTGTACAGTTATCCTTGCAATATCCTATTTGTTGAGTAGGGTCAACTCTACTCAGTATGAGAGGGGACTGCTCAAAGATGTGAATACCAAGAGATCCACTGAGGGCCATATTGGAGGCTGGATAGCATAGTAAACAGAATGCGATCTACAGCAGGATACCCTTTAATCAAAAAATTAAATCACATTCATGTGAAACAACACTACATATTTGACAAAGTTGTGTACAAATTTAAGGTATTAAGCAGGGTGGCAGGAGAAAATGGGAGTGGAGGGTAGGGATACAAAAAAAAAAAAAAAAAAAGTGAGTGAGTAAATTAATAAAACCAGAGAGAAACTATTAGAGTGGGCTGTGAACTGAGATGCTTAATCCAGTTCTCGGCACTCAAGTTCCTCCCTTTCCTCCTAAATAAGAGAGAGATTGAGAAAACAGGTTCCTTGTCCAAGATCACAAGAACCCAACCTCCTTAATCAAGTCCTGTTCTCACTGCCTGAAACACCCTCATTCAATTTATAGTTGACCAGCAGGGTCTGCAGAGTTCTGGTTCCTGGCTAAATAGAAAAGGGTTTTTGCCTGCAGGGAGGGTGTGGGGACCAGTAGAACCAGCCTGGGAAGAAAAGGTTTAGTTATTATTCAAATAAAGGTGCTGGTGGATTGCTCACCCCTCCTGCTAGTGTTCTTCCTTCTCTGGAGACAGAGGGCTCTCAGAGTGCAGAGCCCTGTGAATCTCCCCAGGCCAAGCCTGGTGGTGGTTGGAGAATCAAAACTCTCATTTCTTTAAAAGTATATCCTGTGGCTCTAGGCCTTGTGACTTCTTTCTTTTAATCTTAAGCACTGCCAGGTAAAAACTGTTATTTCAAGATGCCCAAGAATGAGTTGAAGAGATTGTTTTTAACTATTTTACCTCCCTATGAATTCATTCATTCACTCACTCATTCATTCATTCAGCAAATACTCATTGAGCACCTATTATGTGCCAGCAATGGTGATACAACAAAGAATATTAGCAAGCAAAGACTCTGTCCTCATGAGTGAGGGGTAGGAGCAGTGGGAACAGATGCTGGACAGTAAAGGACAATAAATAAGATATGAAAACTAAAATTGGATTAAAAAGTCATTATATTATCAAGGAATACTTGTATTTGAACTGAGACCTGAATGGTGAAAAAAAGCCAGCCCAGAGAAGAGCAATTTTGGAGTGTAAATGCCCCAGGTGGGGATAAGTTTAGTGTTTGAGGAGATTAGGGAGGAAGGCAAGCCCCAGATCAGACAGGTACGTGTAATTATTTTTCAAGAGTTTGGAATTTATTCTGACTGTCACTGATTCTGCCATTATTAGCCATATGACCTCAAACAAGTTACTTCAGTCCTCTGAGCTTCAGTTTACCTATCTATAGAGGTTAATAACCATTCATTGTGGTATGCAGCCTCTAAAGTGCTTCCGGTAACTATGTGTCCTGGTAGTCACACCCTGGGAATGTGGAATGAATCACTTCTCACCAAAATAATATGGCAGAAGTAATGGTGTAAACATTTCCTATTGCTGCTGTAACACAATACCACAAACTTAACTTAGTGGTTTAAAACAGCACAAATCTATTATCTTGTAGTTCTGGAGGTCAGAAAATCAAGTAGTTGATAGGGCTCTGCTCCTTCTGGAGACTCCAGGGGAAAAGGTTTTCTTGGCTTTTCTATCTTGTAGAGGCTGCCTGCATTCCTCAGCAACATCCTTCCATCTTCAAAGTGCATCATCCAACCTGTTTCCACTGCTAACATTTTTTTTTTTTTTGTCACTGACTGTCTTGCCTCCCTCTTTGCCTTATGAGGACCCTTGTGATTACACTGGGCCCATGAGGACAATCCAAGACAATGTCCCTCATCTCAAAACCCTTAATTTAATTACTACTCCAAAGTCTCTTTGCAATATAAAGTAACATATTTACAGGTTCTAAGGATTAAGACACAGACATCTTTGGGGGGCCATTGTTCTACCTATCACAGATGGCATGTCACTTTTGTGATTAGGTAAAAAAAGACTGTGGCTTCTGTCATGAGTACTTCTGTTTTTTATCTCTCATTACTTTGAGGGAAGCCAGCTGCCTTGACATCAGGCAGCCCTGTGGAGAGAGGCCCATGTGGCTAGGAACTAAAGCTCACAGGCAACAGCCAGTGAGGAACTGTGGTCTATCAACAACTGTGTCTATGAGCTGGAAAGTGAGTTCTGCAGCCCCAGTTCAGCCTTGAGATGGCTACAGCTCAGGCCAACAGCTTGACTTCAGCCTCATGGGGAACCTGAGCTTGAACTACTGAGCTAAGCGTCTTAGATTCATTATCCTCAAAAACCATGTGAGAGAATAAATGTTTATGGTTTAAGCTGCTAAGTTTTGGGGTAATTTGTAATGCAGTAACAGGGAATATATTCATTCATTCGGCAGATATGTATTGTCTATACTATACGCCAAGTTGTTTGAGGTATTGGGAATACGGCAGTGAATAGAGAAAAATCCCTGCTCTTATGGAGTTTACATACTACCAGGGGAGACAGATGGCAAACATAATAAGTCAGTAATTTATGTGATATGCCAGATGGTGACAACTGCGATGGTGAAAAAGTAGAGCAGGTTAAGGGAGGTAAGCTAGTTAAGGAAAACTTTGCTGAAAAGATGATAGTTGAGCAAAGACTTAAAGAAGTGAGGGAGGAAACCATGCTCTTCATAGGAAAGAGTATTTCAGGTGGCGGGAACAGCAAGTGCAAAAGTCCTGTGGCAGGGCTGTGCCCAGCTTTTTAAAAAGGCATCAGGTCTACAGCCATACCATCCTGAACGTGCCCAATCTTATTTGATCTCGGAAGCTAAGCAGGGTCGGGCCTGGTTAGTACTTTGATGAGAAACCACCTAGGAATACCAGGTGCTGGAGGCGTTAAAAAATTAAAAAAATTAAAAAATAAAAAGTCATCAGGAGGGCTAGTGCGACTGGAGTGTAAAAAAGGGCAGAGTGGTGGCAGATGACTAAAAAAGTGAGGTGAGGATCAAAATAGATAATGTATGTTAAGCTTTTTTTAATCTAGTAGTTGCTCAATAAATTGAAGTTTTTCCTTTAAAAAATTTTAATTTTTTGTGAAATAATCTCAAGTATATACAAAAAGGAAAGATAACAATATAATGAACACCCAGTTAACTACAACCTACCCTAATGACTAAAACTAACAGCTATGGTTGAGTCTATGGCTATGCTATCCTGAACAAGCCTGATCCTGATCCCGTCTGATCTCAGAAGCTAAGCAGGGTCAGGCCTGGTTAGTACTTGGATGGGAGACCAACTAGGAAGACCAGGTGCTGTAGGCATAAAAAATAAAAAAGTAAAGGATTATAAATTGACAAGATCCTTGCAATCTGTGAGGTCAGCCAAGGGTTGCCTCGCCTAAAAGAAAACTAAATAAATAATA